AATCTGAAGTTCGTCCGATACATAAATGAAATCTGACTAAAGAATGTTGTAGTCAGAATTCGAACTCGGGTTGAAGTGAATATAACAAACAGTAATGATTCACACTTACACTAGTGTATAGCTGAAAATCCAATGAGGAGCCATCTATAGCAACGCTTATCGGCTGCTTCGCAGTGGCACACAATAAAGCACTATCTGATTGTGCCACATCAGTGTAGCCATCAATGGTAACAACTTTGGTTTCCTCCTAAATCAAGTAAAAATTTAGAAAAGAAACATTCAATAAATTAGACAAAAATTATGTTCTTTCAAAATGCAAAATCCAAAGGAAGGAAAAGGAAGGGCTATTATAGTAACAATAAAAGACCTTGGTGACATTGCAGGTACCATCCACACCAGTGTAAGGGTAATTGGCTTCTGTATCTATCCCGCCATTGTTTATAACCCACTCGAAAGCATAATCCATGATCCCTCCATCACATCCATCGTTAGTAGTATCACAATCGACAAGTTCTTGCTCTGAAAGGCTTATAAGGTCTCCTGTCAATATTGCATTTACTCCTTCTATGGCTCCGGTGGAAGAGAATGACCAACAACTACCTACAAAATCAGAAAGAGAAAAACTTTTCGCAATATTCAAAAGAGTATAAGGGAAAATTAGTGGCGCGTTAAACTCATTTATTGATGTTTTTGATAGATTCTGTCAAAATCACAATCAACTAGCATAATAAGACTATAAACTCTTACATAAATTTCCAACACATAAGTCAAAACCATACATAGAAATCGAAATATAGAAGCTTACCGCAATTGCCTTGATCCTTCACACCAGTCACAACTCCTTTCTTCCTCCAATCTAAAGAGTAAGGCGCGTCTTCACACGATTCACTCTTAGCAAGCCTCCTCTTGCTAACTGGCTTCTTCACCTTTGAAATAAACTTATTCTTGAACTCTTCATTGCTCATATCAGCAAACCTGTTCAATCCAAGACGGTGTCCGAGAAGAGAGTTTCTCACTGCATTCCTCTCTAGAATGTATTTCAAATTCCTCTTGAAATTCTCCAACCTTAAAGCTGTTTCTTCAGGGTGTCTGTAGAACTTCTGGTGGTCCTCTTTCCATTGTTGGAACAACTCAACCACTTGTTCCTCAGAAGGTAACTTTGTATGGTCAAAGGCTAATATCGAGTACTTGCTTGGGATACCGTAACATAGAAATGTCCATGAACTCAAGATGAGTGTAAGTAGAACCAAAAGATATTTCTGATGGGAACCCATTTTTTACCTGTTGGTTATCGATGATGTTTGATCCACCAACATTTTTGTGTTGCATATAAAGTGATTAATTGAATGCAAAATCAAGCTACCAGTCAGCAGAACAAAATCTACATTTTGGTCGTTTGCACTCTCTTTCATGGCTTAGATTGAAACAACAATGGAAAGAAAAAATCTAGCATTGTGAGATTTTTTTGGTACAACCTTCATTGTTAGCTAGTACCAAATTTTTCTTTTGATGATTCTATTTCTTCTAGTCAATTTAATTAGAATCATTGAGTTTTGAGGAGAATCTAACAGTCAGCTGCGCACGTGTTCTCAAACATGTACAATGTTAGACTGTTGACTGGTTGTTGAAGCAATGGAATGGGAACGACACAATGAGGTTAGTGATTTGTGTGTATCACATGTGTTTGTCACATGTCCAATTTCACCTGTTTTAGAAGCATAGTGTTATGGTATTATATATTTATTTGTTTAACACTTTGAACGATGATACATTTTTTTAAATAGTCTAATGGTTGAATTCCATCTTATTAAAGATGAATAAGTTGGATATCGCGGATTTAAATCTGCGCCCCTGCATTCAATATCCAACTACCAACTGAACTGTCTTAACAGGACTGAACGAGGAGAGTTTTTAGTTGCTAAGAGTAGGCAGCCGGGCCATCAAGTACAACTATGTAAGTCATGTCAAATTTGTGCATTAAGCATGCCATTTAATAACACGGACAAGAGGCAACATAGCACATGATTACAGCATATCATTCGATAACACGAACAAGAGGCGACACAGCATAAGATTATGCCGAACTTACAACATATAGCTTCGCAAAATTCACAGTGACAGCGCGTTAGGGCGTAAAAAATGTGGACCAAATACAAATCCAGACAAACTATGCATTTTTCCACTATTCCATACAAACTTGAAGTAAATTTTAAGGTAAAGTGATTTGTACAATATACAAATTTAATTGTATACAACAACCTTATGTGGTCTGACCAACAATCCAATAGTTCAACCATTAACTCCTCAACTCATTACCTCTATCAAGTCGAGTACCCCTCTGAGTTTAATAAAATACACTCAACAAATCAGAAGGCCTAAGATATTTATCTTGAAGAGAGTGAGTAACATTGACAGTCTGGGAGCTTTGGATAACCATAGCTACCACTTCAAATTCACAATGTGCAAACAGGGATTCAAATGTGCCAAGTTTCTCAATTTAAATCAGTTCAGGGCCAAAAATGATGGTGCCAATCGTGCGTTAAGAGCACATTTGATCTAAATTACCTGATTAAATGGAATACATGCCAAAGAGCACATTTGATTTTAATCCATTTAATTTTCTCTAACGAAATCTGTTATTGTATCAAAGAGACTAGTTCATGTATTTTGTTGCTTACACACATAATGAACATACAAGAATCAAATATGAACACATACATATGAACATATGTAATGACAGCAACTAACTGAAAGTCTGAAAGTCTGCCATAAATAAATGTAACAACGGTTTCCAGTGTAAGCATATGTACTACTCATAAGTTATGGAAAATACAAAGTGAAAGATAGAGATAAATCCATAGAGTCGTATAAAGTGTCTGCATTTTGATGTTCAAATAACACAAGTTTCATAGAACTAGTCAAAATGATGTCTCAAGTTTAGGATTTAAAAGCTCTGAAATTTTTCCTTCCTTCGGTCATCTGAATCAGAGTTACAATTGAATTTCAATTTCACAATACTTTTGTCGTCTCTCAACCGGCGCTCCTCCAACCACTCTTTAGGTATTTCTTTTATTTTTCAATTCCTTTTCTCTTCTATTTTCTTTCTCTTTTTTGTTTTTATCTTTTCCTTTTCTGTTTTTCTGTTCTTGAGTTTTTCTTTCTGCAGTAATATTGATACAGCAATGATTTACCAGTAGTGGGGGAATAAGTGGAACAAAAAGGCGTCAACTGATGTAATTTCTTGTTTCTGCGAATATTTTCAAGCAAGGAACTATATCACCCTTTATTCCTGATTGATTCGAGGTAGAATTTGGTGTAGAAGATGTTGTTATACTATCAATAACAGGAAAAAGAAAAAGAAAACAGAAGAGAAAAACAGAAAAGAAAAGAGAGAGAACATAAAGGAAGAGAAAAATAAAAAAGAAAAAAAGAAAGAAAATAAAAGAAGAGAAAAGGCACAGGAAAAGTGAAGAAGAAAATACCTTAAGAGTGGCTGGAGGAGCGTGCAGGTGACTGGAGAAGGAGCGGTTAGAGTTAGTAGGAAACAAATTCAAATAAAAGAGTGCATTGGTAGATATATTTGATTAAGTCACAATATTTGAAGGGGTGATTGTTTCGGGTAATTTGTCCCTGTTTCAATAGTTTTTTTTTTGCTATTCTCGGTCATGCATAGGTATGGCAACGGGGTAGGGCGGGTCGGTTTTTAACTCCCCAAAGTCCAAACCCAAATTTTATAATAAACCCCGTTTTCCACCCCAATTTCTATCGGGGATGAAGAATTAAAACTCAAACACATCCCAAATAGGTTTGGGTTGGATTCGGATATCCCGCTCCGTCAATTGAAATCAATTTTTTTGATAAAAATACTTATTTTTCCAAAATTAAATAACATTACAATTAATCAAATAAAAGAATCTCAAAAATTTCAGGATACATTTCAAATATTTTAAATAATAAATACAAATCAAAATTTTAAAAATTAATCACATATTTAATATTCTAAATTATCAAAATTAAAATAATAAAATGCATAATAAAATAAACAGGACAGATTCAGGGATGAGTTTGGGGTGGGTAGAGTATCTCCATTACCCGATCCGTCTTCAGATATGAGCTATGAATCAGTTTTAAGCTACATTACAGATCATAAAGTAAAAATTCCAAAAAAAAATTAAAATTAAACAAAATGGTGGAGCACTCAGTTTTGATAAAACTTATAATTTGGGTGACTCAGCTACAATGTTATGAACAAAATATAACCTCATTACTTGCTTCTTGCCCATTATAGAAGTTTCAACAATCATTTTTCTTTTTAGATTCCATATAAAGTTCTGAGCAATTTGAGCATAGAAAAGGAAGTTGCAAAAGAAAGAATCACATATAAGAAATCTAAACCTCTAAAATTGAATTACCAGGTCAACCTTAATAGAAGCAAAAAAATTGATGGAAGCTTGAACAACGAAGTACACAATCCAGGCCAGTCAAGAAGGAAAACGGTGAAAATTTGAGAATCTGATATTGTACAAAGACACAAGGCCTGGCCTGGACATACAAGAACTAGGAAAAGGCACTAAAATAAAAGCCAAACACAGAAAACACGACACTGACATTGACACGTCGACACGACATCTATAATAATTTGAAAAATGAATAAACTAAATATAATCACAAGTGTCGGTGTCAATTTCACACACTAACACATCATTTTTCAAAGGTGTCAGTGCTACAGAGCTAATGACAATAAAAAGAACAAAATCGCGATTATTATCAAATCAAAATCAATGTACAACAAAGAACCAACCGATAAAAGGGATGTATTATTGTGTATATATATATATATATATATTCCTCCTCAACATTGATACAGCAAGATTGAACCACCAAGCATTGAATCTTATAGCTCAAAAACTATTGGAAATTCCCAACATCCCTCCCACTCTAACCACATATGAAAAAAGGGGCAACAAAAACATAAACCTAAATTTTTAGTACCTTCCCTTTTAAGATGCCCTAGGATCAGTTCCATGCTGCCAAACATAAGCAAGTTCATCCCAACCAGTACTAGCAATAAGCCCTTCAACAAGAACACTCATATCAACCCCAACCGCAAACTCGGTATGATGATCATATCTACTCACCAAAGCATCCTCCACCATGAAATCCCAAACACAAACAGACATATCATAAGAACACGACACCATCAAATTCCGCACGTGCGGCGAAAATTTCACCTTTCTAACAGCATAACCATGCCCATTAAGCACTGAAATCGGAACCCTAAAACTCCTAACATCCCAAACCTTAATCGATTTATCAACTGACGCAGTGGCAATAATACATTCATCATACTTATTCCAATCACATGAAAGAATCTCATGATCATGTGCGGGGAGGATCATGGTGGAACCTGGCTCACGAACGTCCCAGATTCGGAGAGTACAATCACCGGAAGCAGACGCAAAAACATCGGCGTGGCGAGGGTTCCAAACGGCGGAGTAAACACAGTAAGCGTGTTCTTTAAACGTGCGAACGGAGGTAGGACGATCGACGGTCCATAGCTTGACAGTATCATCCCATGAGGCGGAGAGGAAGGAGTCACGGCGGACGGGATTGTAATCAGCGGAGTGAACTTCGCGGGTGTGTTCGTGAAAGGAGCGGATAGGGTTTGAAGTTGGGGGAAGAGCGAGGTCGTAGAGTTTAACGGAGCCATCAGCTACGGCGGCGACTACGACGGAATCGTGAGATTCAGACCAGGTGACGTCGTAGACCCCATCGGCGGTGTCGTAGGCGATGAGTTCGGTGATTGGGAGAGTGGGATTTGAGGAGAGTTCGAGGACGTGAAGACGGCCGTTGCCGAGGATGCCGAAGTTTTGGGCGGTGGCGACGGCGATGCGATTTTCGTAGAATGGACTGAACTTGACGGAATAACCGTTGAATGGGGTTTTGAAAACCGGCATGGTTTGATGAGAGTTCTGACTTCTGAGGATTTTTGGTTTGGGTTAAGTGAAAAACTGAGTTCAGCTAACTGTGTGCGTAGCAAGATTGAAGATTTTTAAATTCCCCAGACTCCGTAGAAGAAAATCATTGGGCTAATTTCATCCTTTGCTCGAATTATAAAAAAATAATAATAAATCTTTTTTTTAATGTTAAAAATATATTCTATATTGGTTTTGATATTTTATCCTTTTTATTTGTTTTTAATGTATTACTTATCATGTTCTTTTTATTTTCATCATATATTTTTTATCTACTATTTACTATTGTTAAATAAAGGATATATTAGAAGGAAGAACTTATATATTTAAAAATAATAATAATAAGAGATCAAAATAAGTAGTATTAAATAAAAAAATAAAGGTCTGAAACATAAAAAAAAATTAAAAGATTAAGACATAAAAAATTAAAAAGCAAAAAAATATATATATTCTACCCACCATTTTTCAATCACCTCTTCAGTTTGTATTAATGTTTGTTTTTCCTTTTTTTAATTTTTCCTAATTTTATTTATTTTTTATATTATTTTGTATAATTTATTAGATGCATTGTAAAGTTATGTGAACTTTGGTTTGTCGATTGTATGGCTTTGATCTCTTTTTATATTTTTAGTTTTGATGCTTCTTTGGAAGTAAAAAGGTACATAAAAAAGATGTGTTGACGTCTAAGTTAATGTATTAGGAAATGAGTGAATTGATTGTGTGGTCATACGTGGAATGAGACCCTTATTTATTGATTGATTGAACTTTAAAATGCTCCAGATAATTGTTATCTTTACTAAAGAGATCTCAGTATCATGGGTGGATAAATATATGCCAAAAATAACCTTGAGGATAAGAAATTGTGATGTGACATTGTGTTATTAAGGTTTAAATAGGAACAAGAATAACTTTGCTTTTATTATGTGTTTAAACTTAGGTAACTAAATGAAGTCATTATCTTTAGATATGATGACTCTAAAAATGAATAGGAACAGGCTAGTTTCCTTATCATACTACTAATGTTGCTAATTTCTTTAAGAAGGAGCCTAAATACTCGAAAGATTAGTCATAAAGATTCTTTTCTCCCTAGCCTTATATGTTTTCTCCTTTTGCTCCCAATCAGAAGAAGAGGAAGAGACATGATATTGATTTCTCGTTTCACCCCTTATTTATTAGAATATGAATTACTATTAATATTCTAATACCATCCCTTAATTCATATTCCATCAAAACTTGTAACACCAATTCCATCCCTTAGTCTGAGAAATTGTTCAGTCTTGATAGCTTTCGTCAGAACATCTCCCAACTGCTTCTGAGTGCTGCAGTGTACAACTTCTAACACTCCACTCTGAACTTGATGTCTCAGAAAATGATACTTGGTCTCAATATGCTTGCTTCTCCCATGCAACACTGGGTTTCTGGCAAGATTGATTGCAGACTTGTTGTCAATCATCAACTTCAGAGGTTTGTCTACTTTAATCTTCAGATCCTGCAACAGATTCAAAATCCACACAGCTTGGCATGCAGTAACAGCACCTGCAATGTATTCAGCTTCACAGGTTGACAACGCCACAACAGGTTGCTTCTTGGAACACCAAGAAATGGAACCTCTCAGAAATTTGAACAAGTACCCATATGTACTTCTTCTGTCAACTCTGTCTCCACACCAATCAGAGTCTGAATAACTCAGAAGTTCTGACTCATTATTTCCTCCAGAGGGAAATAACACTCCATACTTCAGAGTTCCTTTGATATACCTCAGAATCCTGACAGCAGCTTGGTAATGGGACCACTTAGGTTTGCTGATGAACCTACTAACCATCCCAACTGAGTAGCAAATATCAGGTCTGGTATTGCACAGATACCTCAGAGAACCAACCAACTGTTTGAAGGTTGTAGCGTCCACATCCTTTCCTTCAGAGTCTGAATCCAGTTTCTGATTTGTATCAGAAGGTGTGACAGCCATCTTACAATTTTCCAGTTCAAATCTCTTCAGAAGTTCTAATTCATACTTGAGCTGATGCAAAATGATACCTTTCTCAGAATATCAGAACTCCATCCCTAGAAAGTATGTCATTTTGCCTAGATCAGTCATTTCAAATTCATTCATTAGAACCTTCTTGAACTTGGTTATCTCCTATTCAGAACTTCCAGTCAGCAGTATATCATCAACATATAAACATACCAGAGTCATATTGCCTTCAGAAGTATGCTGAACATAGACACCGTACTCCATCTCACATTTCTGAAAGCCTTGCTTCTTGAAAAATGAATCAATCTTCTGATTCCAAGCTCTGGGCGCTTGTTTCAATCCATATAGAGCTTTGTATAATCTGTACACCATCCCTTCCTGATTCTTTTTCACAAATCCAGGAGGTTGTGACACGTAAACTTCTTCTTCTAATGGACCGTTCAGAAATGCAGATTTTACATCTAAATGCATCAGAGGCCAATTCCTGTTAGCAGCTATTGCAATCACCATTCTGATTGTTTCATGTCTTGCTACAGGTGCAAACACTTCAGAGTAATCCAGCCCAGGTTTTTGTAGAAATCCTCTGGCTACCAACCTTGCTTTATGTTTGCCAATTGAGCCATCTGGCTTTAACTTCTGCTTGAAAACCCATCTGACGCTGATGGCTTTCTTGTCTTTTGGAAGTTCTGTCAGCTTCTAAGTCTTATTTCTCTCTATAGCATCAAGTTCTTCTTTCATGGCCTTCATCCAGAGCTTCTGCTTAAGAGCCTCCTCTGTGCTTATAGGTTCAGAGTCTACTAACATGGCACACTGAATAACTTCTCCTTCAGAGTCTACTTCAGTGTCTTGCAGCATGTCAAATTCTGCAAATCTTCTGGGAACGCTTCTGATTCTTTGTGGTCTCTGAACTTGTTCAGAGTCTTGAGCTTCAGAGTTTCCAGCTTCAGATGGTTGACTTCCTCTAGAGTTTTGACCATCTTCAAGATCTGGCATATTTTCAGAGTCTTGGCCATCTTCAGAGTCTGAATTGCCACCAGAATCTGGATTACCATCAGAGTCTGGATCATCAGAGTCACCTTCATCTTCTGAGTCTTCTCCAGAGTCAGAATCACTATCAGAGTCAGAATCAACGTCAGAGTTTACTTCAACTTCAGAAATTCTTAACTCTGACCTTTCTTCAGAAGTTCTAACATCAGAATCAGATTGAGACTTATCCCAATTCCAAACTTCTGATTCCTTCACAATCACATCTCTGTTGAATTCAATTTTATTGGTTTCTGGACAATAGAGCTTGTATGCACCTGTATTGTGGTACCCTATCAGAATCATCACTTTGCTTCTATCATCCAGCTTCTGTCTTCTGGCTTCTGGAACATGTTTATAGCAAACAGAACCAAACACCTTCAGATGACTAACACTTTGCTTGTCTCCAGTCCACTTCTGCATAGGAACTATTTCCTTCAACTTCTTCGTAGGACATCTGTTGAGTACATACGTTGCAGTGGCAACAGCTTCTCCCTAGAGCTTCTGAGGAAGCTTCTTCTCCTTTAGCATGCTTCTCACCATATCAAGCAAAGTACAGTTTCTTCTTTCAGCAAGACCATTGTGTTGAGGGGTATAAGGAGCAGTAACCTCATGCTCAGTTCCATTCTCCTCACAGAACTTCTGGAACTCTTTGGAGTTATACTCACCTCCACCATCAGTTCTAAGAATCTTCAACTTCTGACCACTCTGATTCTCAGCCTTCATTCTGAATTTCTTGAATTCATCAAACACCTCGTGTTTGAACTTAATAAGGGATACCCATGTCATTCTTGTGAATTCATCAACAAATAACACAAAGTATTTATTCCCTCCAATTGATGCTACTGGAAATGGACCACACACATCAGAATGTACAACTCCCAAGGCATGTTTTGCTCTTGGAGCAGCTTCTGACGCAAATGGCAATCGTGGTTGTTTTCCTTCCATGCAAATTTATTTAGTTGTACTATTTTCTTAGCCCCTAAGTTTGTTAGAGGGTATTTTAGTATTTTATCTTATTCTAGTAACCCTAGTTTTAGCTTATAAATAGGGTGACAATCATTGTAACTTTTGTCATGTTTTGTAGCCGTCATTCTCTTTAATAGAATATTTCCCTATTTCATCATTTATTCTATCTTTGCACCAACATTATTAACATTGGAGACCCTATAGAAGAAAAGGAGGTTGATTTTAACTAGTTTCACGTTGATTAGCTATCATTTAACTAATTTTATCTAGTTATTTTTGCTTAAGAATTTGATTAATTATCACATTTATTATTATTATTATTTCAAGTTTTTTTTAGAAACTAATATTTATGTCATATTTTAATATTTGAGAATTTCTACCATAATCATGCTATTCTGGAGTGTTTTGAGATATTTTGTAGGCGTGGGTATCTAAGAAATGGACAAAAAGTAGAACTAGGAATTCTGTCAATCAACACACACCAAGGAAAAGTATGTACGCTCATGCAAATAAATCAGGCCCACGTATGTATGCCCAAAGAAGCATACATGCTCCAATTCAAATAGTTGACATATATACGTATGTTAATGCCAACATACATAAGTCAGTGCAAATGAGCAGACCCAAATACGTATGCTCAAAGTAGTGGTGTATGTATACTTGTTCAAAATCCAGGTTAACATACATACATATAGGCTAGCATATATATTCCCTCTTAATTCGATTGCAGCGTATGTACGCCAACGTCACACTATGTATGCTCAAATATGGCTATTTAAAGGAAATGTGATTTTTCATAAGGGTTTGAAATTTTGACAACTAGTGAAACTTTTGGAAGCTGAAAAACACAATAAAGACTTTAAGAAGACATTGTTTAATGGATTTTTAGGTTAATACTTTTCAATTACTTATTTATGTGTAATCTCTTTACTTTGTTAAATTTTAGTTATTAATCATGAGTAGTTCAACTCATTATTGTTAGGGATGAACTCAAATATTTGAATAACCTTGTATTCTA